TGCATTCTATTTTAAGAATGAAGTACTAGAAATAGATGATAGTGATTGAATAAATAATAAATGTATTGGTTTTATTAAAAAAAATTAAAATATAATATTTTTGAGTTTCTATCAGGAATAGTTTATCATCATATAGAGATAAATGTAATGTTTGTAATAATGAAGAGTTCTACCGGATCTGCTATTTACTATTACAACCAGCTTATCACGTTATAAAAATCATTAATTAGTGAAGAGTTCCACCGGATCTATGATTCGACTAATTTAAGAATAAGCTGGTTCGCGAGTTCTATGTAATAAATGTTATAAGTGAATATATGAAATAAAAAACAAATAAAACATGATTTAACTTCCTTTTAGAATTGGTTTTATCTTATGTTCATTTGCAATTGTCTGAATTAACTTTAATATTCAAGTTTATAGTTTATCTAATGCAATAAATTTTTTATCTGTTTTTAAACTTTGATCGATTTATTAAATATTACAGAAATATTAGAAAATTGGTTTATTTCTTATGTTCATTAATACGGTTGCATTGGTTCACAAAAGACCAGATTAATTAGTATACATAAGTACAAGTCTTTTTTATAATGGTAAAAAAACAAGAAATTTCAATCATATTTGTCTAAATGATTTGTATATAAATAAACTGTATTTTAAAACTATAGTTAACTATAGTTTTAGAGTAAACTAATGGTTTATTTATATTAATTGTAAATTTTAATTCGGAGTTGTTTGTGTGTTGGAATGCCAACTGATATTTTAAGAAAATTTACAAACACCAATTATATTACATTGATTAGAATCAAAGACTTGTAACATAATTCACGGAGTTGTTTGTGTGTGGGAATGACAACTGAATATTTTAAGGAAAAATCTACAAACACCAATTATATTACATTAATTAGAATCAAAGACTTGTAACATAATGCACGGAGTTGTTTGTGTGTGGGAATGCCAACTAAATATTTTAAGGAAAATTTACAAACACCAATTACATTATATTGATTAGAATCAAAGACTTGTAACATAATGCACGAAGTTGTTTGTGTGTGGGAATGCCAACTGAATATTTTAAGAAAAATCTACAAACACCATTATATTAATTAGAATCAAAGACTTGTAACATAATGCACAGAGTTGTTTGTGTGTGGGAATGCCAACTGAATATTTTAAGAAAATCTACAAACACCAATTACATTACATTGATTAGAATCAAAAACTTGTAACATAATGCACAGAGTTGTTTGTGTATGGGAATGCCAACTGAATATTTTAAGAAACACCATTACATTAATTAGAATCAAAGACTTGTAACATAATACACTTACGGAGTTGTTTGTGTGTGTAGGAATGCCAATTGAATATTTTAAGAAAAATTTACAAACACCAATTACATTATACATTGATTAGAGTCAAAGACTTGTAACATAATGCACGGAGTTGTATATGTGTGAGAATGCCAACTGAATATTTTAAGAAAAAATCTACAAACACAATTATATTACGGTAACATAATGCATAAAGTTGTTTGTGTGTGGGAATGCCAATTTTTAAGGAAAATCTACAAACACCAACTACATTACATTGAATAGAATCAAAGACTTGTAACATAATGCATGAAGTTGTATGTGGAAATGACAACTTAATTTTTTAAGGAAAATTTATAAACACTAATTATATTACATCGATTAGAATACAATCTAAATTTTATATTGATAAGAATTTAGTGAGATGCTAACCAAATTTTTCGACATTGTTATAAGTGAAATTTTCTTATTAAATTTATTAATTTCCAAATTATGATGCTTAAAATATTACTATTTTATAAATGTCATATACATAGATTATAATTTTCTTATAAAGATAATTATTATAATGAAAACCTTCAAAAAATAGCTACATAAGCTAAATCATAATTATACATACTTAGTAAATTATCTTATAATGATAATTAGTATAACGAAAACTACCTTTAAAATAACTAAGCTAAATCATAATTATATATACTTAGTAAATTATCTTATAATGGTAATTTAAATTTTTAAATCAAATATGTAACAAGTATTTATAACCGAATAAAATGAATATTGAGACTTGGATATTTTAACGATTGTTCGATCTATTAAGCTTCGATTTATCTTAACTAGAGAGCTTCGATTTATCTTAACTAGATCCCAAATCATACGTATTCTCAAATTTGTTTAAGTATCTCTATTATTTTAAAATGGCACGAATCCATAATAATTTGTATTCTAATAAACAGAACAATTTTTATCAAAAATTTATTACAAGTACTGCAATTACAGAGATAATTAGATAACTACAGAAAATTCTAAATTTATATGAAAGACTCAGTTTTGATCAGAAATAATTAATATGAATAATGGTAAAAATAAGAACAAAATGTTAAAAATTTTTATAATCAAGAATTATTAAATGCCATTGTTATTCTATTTATTTTATTTTCTTCAATTTTAGAAACCTAGTTTTCGAATTTAAAAGATATTTCGAATAAATATTAGAAAAAAATTATTTCTTTAACCCTTTTAAATATAAAAAATTGATGTAATCATACAAATAAATATTTCAATATTAATTCGAAAAATAGCCAATAAGAATTAATTATCTCTTATTTGAAAAGTATATTTACGAAAATTATCAAACAAAACCTTTTGCAATATAACGTGAAGAATTTAAACTTTGTTTATATTATTAAATTCTTAGTGGTTGATAAATTTCTGTTATGCTGAAAAATTTTTAATTAAAAATTACATTAAATATATTTTAACACACATACATAACTGATCAGCACTATATATAATATTAATCGTTATCATTATCATAAAATGCAATATGATACATAACTCGGAGTTTTATTTTGATGCTTTGTAAAAATAAAGTAAGGTAATACGAATAACCAGATCAAATATGAATTAAATCAACAGATCAAGAAAATTTTTATTAATACAACAGACACTACGATCAAGAGTAAGATTGAAAAAATCAATAACTTTTATTTTAAATTGTTGAAAATAATTAAAGTCTCAGATACAAGCTTTTTGGAATATAAAATTATTAAAAATTAAATATTTTGTTTTAAACCTTTATAATAATCATTATAAATTAGTGAAGTGCTTCTATTTGACTTTAGTATAGCACAGACTTATCATAACCTGGATTCCCGAATTCATGACTTCCAGCCATAATCACAGCAAAAAAATCTTTCATATTTCATATTATAAGCATATCCCAAGATTCGAATTGGTCGATACTGTAAGTTCTATGTACAATTGGCTCGTAAGGCTTGGAATGCAAACATGAATATTTTTTTACTCTAGATAATAATTGATAAAGATTAGTTTGAGCTTCTACTTATCAATTTAGAAAATGAAAAATATACTTAACCGCCAAAGCAACAATATAACAAAAACCTCAATAATCAATACTAAAAACAGAATGTTGTTGCAAGTACAAAATTTGAGGAGAAATTTTTTCACATCTTTAACATGCGATAAAATTTTTAAAGGAAGTTCGTCGAATTTCTTATGAACATATATTTGTGTAACAGATCAGCATTTATATTACACATATATTAATCGTTAACTTTATCATTATCATAGCTGTATATCATACAGAACTCAGAGTTTCATTTTGATATTTGTAATATAGGAAACACAAATGATAACGGCAAAGATAGCACAAATTAAATTAAATACGAATTAATTATCCCTGATTTGAACAAGTACATTTACGAAAAAAAATAACTAAATCAAACAAAGCCTTTTGCAATAGCGTGTAAAGAATTGGAATCTTAAACTTTGTTTATATCATTAAATACTTAGCAAAAGATAAATTTCTGTTTACCTACACCTTTCTTGGAACTTGTGTAGTGTTTATTTTTTTCTCATATTTTTATGCTAAAAAATTCTTCAGTTAAAATACGATATCCGATATGTTTTAACATGTATAATTGCATAACAGATCTGCTTTATATATTATACTGTAATATTATTAATCGTTATTGTAAATCATATATAACTCAGAGTTTAGTTTTAATGTTTTGTAAAATAGGTAATACGAATAACCGTGGCGAAGATAAAACAAAAATGAATTAAATATCTCCTTATTTGAACAAGTTCATTTATGACAAAATATATTAAAAGAAACACGTAAAACCTAGTTCTCATTAATAAACAAAATATCAAAAAACAGTTTAAAGCTTTTAGCATTGTTGCTAAAAATCACCTATACAACCACAATTATTTTTTTTCTTCTATTTTTCTGACTTTAATTTTTTTGTTTTTTTGATCTCTGCTTCTTTGATTTTCACATCTTTGATTTTACTACTGAATAATATGATTCCATTTCAATCTTGTTGTTTCCCAGTCTTACTGTCAGATTTTCTATATTATCTAAGATACAGTAGCTATCTATGAATCTGAATCTATTAACTCCAATAATAGAGAAATAAACAAAAGCAGACCATTCACTGATGAAGAATCTTATTTGGTCAATAAAGACACAATGCATTTTAATTCTTTCAACCAAAATGATAATTCTGCGGGCAGCAAAAAAATTATAGAATGGTCATCGAAACAAACTTTAGTACAGTCACTTCAGCTTTTTTTTGCTGAGAAATTCGTTGCTTCCTTTTTTACTGGATTCAAATGCTACTTATTTCAGATTGGAATATTCTGTCAAAATAATACTAAAAAATTTATAAAACAAAAAATATCAAAAAAAACCATGAATATTCTTCGGCTATAGAAAATATTGATTCATATTCTTCGACTATAGAAAATATTGATTCATATTATTCGGCTATAGAAAATATTAATTCATATTCTTTGGTTATAGAAAATATTGATTCATATTCTTCGGCTATAGAAAATATTGATTCATATTTAATTATTAAATTTCAATCCTTACAAACTATAAAAACAAATGACACAACTTATCTATTTAATAGAGCCACTTTTAAAATGAATGAAATAAATATGTTGTTAGTTGATGCACTTAAAAATATCGAATTGCAACTTAAAGATGTTCGTCGTTCAGAAGAAAATATCGATGTTCATCATTCAGAAAAAGATATCGAATCTTTACTTGAAGGTATTTATCATTTAGAAGAGGATCTCGAATTTCTACGTAAAAAGAATTGTCAATTATTTAGAAAATGGTCCAATCTCAACAAAAAAATATATGTCAAAGATCATGATATTCGAGAAGAATTTGAAGATTTAAAACATTTTTATTTATTTAGAGAGCACATTATTATTAATGGAGGCCTCCATTGTATTAATGGGGTCCGTGCATATATTTCTAATCAGAATCTTTGTTAAAATTCATTTAGTCATCGTTATATTAGAGCTGAATATGCTAACTTAGTAAAAATTCGTACTTTGAATTTGTTTAATTAATTGAGAAACTACTTGCTATTACCTTTTTTTTTTATCTTCGTGCAAATTTAATTAGCTAAACGTTTTTATATGCTCCTTTGAATATTAAGGTTAAAATAGGCAATACTACCCATATCTTTTACTTTCACTTAAATTTAAATACTGAATTAATTAATTATTTTTTTGTGAAATCAAATTGGCTAAAAAATTGGCTTAATGCTATTCGGTTTGTTTAGCTTGAGGGACATGCACTTATCTTATACCATCTGCCCTTTCATCAAGGAGCAACTGAATATTTGTGATCTAATGGAAAATCAATCAAACTATCGTTTATTTCAGTACAGAGATTTATGGCTAAAAACACAATCGATAAGTAGCTTTTTAAAGTTTTTGCTTGTTTAATAATATAATAAGTAGTAATGTCCTTTTCTTTAGAAATGTTGTTCGCATGGGAT